TGGATTTGGAATCGAGGTCCAGAGTTGAAGAACCCTGACTTAGAGGAATGTGCAGTATGTCTCAGGGCCTTTTGTGTTGGGCGTCCAAACAAAGTTCTGGTGGTGGGGTATTTTCACACCATGTTGTAATGTTTAGTCAGTTTACTTTTTTAATATGAATGAAGATGAAAGGTGAGAATCTATGCGCATTGTATTTTTTCCCTTGTCTCTTATCCTGGTCCTTTTTATTGTTCTTAATTCTGTGTTAAATTACCCTTGACACTTTAATGTCTGTGGGAGCCAGCGACTGAATGCTTTATATACATTATATGGAGAAAAGTATTGGGACACCTGCCCAATACACCTACAGGAACTTTTATGACATCCCATTCTAAATCTATAGGCATCAGTATGGAGTTGGTCCCCCCCCCCTATGCAGCTGTAACAGCTGCTACTCTTCTGGGAAGGCTTTCCACAAGATTTGAGTGTGTCTGTGGGAATTTTTGCTCATTCGTCCAAGTTCTTCCACACTAACTCAACCAACCATGCCTTTATGGACCTTGCTTTGTGCCCTGGGGCACAGTCATGCTGGAGCAGAAAGGAGCCTTCCCCAAACTGTTCCCACAAATTTGGAAGCACAGAATTGTCCGAAATGTTTTGGCATGCTGAAGCATTAAGAGTTCCCTTCCCTGGAACTAAGGGGCCTAGCCCAACCCCTGAAAACCAATCCCACACCATAATTCCCTCCTGCACCAAACTTTACAGTTGGCCCAAAGCAGTCAGACAGGTAATGTTCTCTTGGCATCCACCAAACCCAGACTCATCCATCAGACTGCCAGACAGAGAAGTGTGATTCATCATTCCACAAAACACGTTTCCACTGCTTCAGAGTCCAGTGGCAGCGTGCTTTACAGCAGTCCATCCAAAGCTTGGCATTGCTCTTAGTGATCTGAGCCACGGAAGCTCATTCCATTAAGCTCCCTGCGTACAGTTTTTGTGCTGGTATTAATGCCAGAGGAAGTTTGGAACGCTACAATAATTGAGTCAACCAACAGAGCGTTGGCAACTTTTGTCAGGGCAAATGACAAAAGGGTCCTGTCACGCTAATAACCAGCCGCAACAAAAATGCCCAATCTCCTTGGTCTGTTTTTACTTCCAGTTATTTATTCACCCGAAGGATACATTTTACAAAGCGAAAGTAACCCAGACAGCAAGTTAGCACTACTGGTCGTGGCAACGACCGGACAACCACGGGCAATATCATATGGAAACAAATGCTGCTGTGCTCCGAGAGATCCCCCTCCAGCAAGCCGGGCCCCCTTTAAAAACACCGCACCGGCTGGACGGCCAACCGGAAGAACAGGCGGAGTCATCGATCCTCCAATCCGGTCCCGACGCGTCTGCCTGTTACAAGGGAAAAATAGAACACGCGCGAAGAGCCCAGAGCACCCCCACTCTCATCCCAAACCATGCGGGACGTAACACCCCCATCACCAAATACAACATCCTATGCAAACTAGCTCAGACATGTACGCGGCGCGAGATAACGCATCCGCCAAAACATTATCGCTGCCTCGGTTACATCTTATCTCCAAATCAAACCCCTGGAGATACAACGACCATTACATAATATGCTGGTTGGCGTTGCTCATGTGAGATAAAAATGTTAACGGGTTATGATCCGTAAAAACCAAGACAGGAAGCGAGGTAGAGCCCACATATACTTCAAAATACTGCAGTGCAAGCAACAGAGCCAATGTCTCCTTCTCGATGGTGCTGTAATTCTTCTGGTGTTTTAAGAACTTCTTTGAAAAGTAACAAACAGGGGTGGTCTATACCACTACTATCCTCTTGTAAGAGCACAGCACTGGCTCCAGTGGCACTGGCATCTACTTCCAGCTTGAATGGCCGTTGAAAATCAGGAGCTGAAAGAACAGGGGCACTACACAGAATAGCTTTTATACAGTCTGGCAATCATTAGTCCACTCAAAAGTGCTAGATGCACCAAGCAAGTTCGTAAGGGGTAAAACCACATCAGAAAAATTCCTGCAAAACCCGCAATAGTATCCAGCCATCCCTAAAAACCTGCGGAGTTCTCTTTTTGTAGTAGGAACTACAAAATCAGCCATAGCCTGGATTTTAGCCAAAACAGGGCGAACTTCGCCGTGACCAACCTGCTTCCCTAAATAGGAAACGGTGGCTTTTCCAAATTCACACTTTGCCAGGTTTAGAGTAAGGCATGCAGACGAGTAAAGACCACCTGAAGATCCGTAACATGTTCTTCCCAAGTGGAAGAATAAATCACGATATCATCGAGATACGCTTCACAGCGAGGAACCCCAGACAAAACTATATGCATTAGACGCTGAAACGTAGCAGGTGCATTTTTAAGCCCAAAGGCCATAACCGAATACTGCATAAAGTCGTCGGGTGTGACAAAAGCAGACATTTCAGCTGCTCGAGGTGTTAACGGTACTTGCCAATAGCCTTTAAGCAAGTCCAATTTAGTCACAAAGCGAGCTGAGCCCACCTTGTCCACACAGTCCTCCATGCGAGGCACTTGCTGACCCCATTCTGTTACTTTAAATCAGGGCTGCTCATTCCTGCCCCTGGAGATCTACCACCCTGCCGAGCTTAGGTACAGCCCTAATTTAACACACCTGATACAGATAATCAGGCCCTTCAGTAGCATGTTAGTAGTATGTTGTATGGAGTATGTAGTATGTTGAAGCTAAGTTGGCTCTAATACTGAAATGCTACTTGCCTGCCTGATTATCTGTATCAGGTGTGATAACTTAGTGCTGCACCTAATCTCTGCAGGGGGGTGAATCTCCAGGGGCAGGAATGAGCAGCCCTGCTTTCCATGGTCTGGCACTTTGTGGCTCAGTTGCTCTTCCTAAAATCTTCCACTTTGCAATAATATCACTCACACTTGACCGTAAAATATCTAGCAGGGAAAAAATTTTGCAAACTGACTTATTGCAAAGGTGGCATCCCTTGACAGTACCACGCTTGAATTCACTGAGCTCTTCAGAATGACACATTCTTTCATAATTGTTTGTAAACCTGACTGCATGGCTAGGTGCTTGATTTTATTCACCTCTGCCTATGGTTCTCATTGAAACACCTGAATTCAATGATGAAGAGGTGTATCTCAATACGTTCGTCCATATAGTGTATATACAGGGGCCACAATTTAGACCAAGTAGGTTATTGTAGCCTTAGTCTTTATAGGAAAATACATTTTTGATCCATACGTGTACAGTTTGTGGGTGGCTGTTGTAATGCATCTCATTAGTGGTTGCCTGTTGCTTTTGATTAATCTTTTATTTGACTTGTTTTCTTCTCCCGCTCGGATTGTTCTAGCAATGCTTTGAGAAAGTTACTACTGGGTCGCCAATCAGAGGGTTCAGACATGTCTCTGGAAAGAATGAACTCCTCTCTAATGGATGCTGTAGTGTTGCCTGTCCACCCAGCATCCCCTCTGGCTCCTTTGCTTACTTTTCGGCTGTGCAGAAGTATGAGAGGCATCTGCAGGAGGGACGGGAAACAGGCTTGGTCTGAGTAAACACTGACCCCCTTTCCCCCCCACCCCCGCTTGTTCAAGGCCTTCAGCTGTGGGAGGGGATGTTTCTGGCCTCTGTCCGTGCTGTCCTTCCGTGGGAGGATTCGCTGCAGTCCCCCCCCCCCGGCTCTGTTCTCTGTACAGTGTTCCGCAAGAATCCTCCTGACAGAGATTTTGTAGACAAAACTGTATCTCCCTCAAGGCTGCTGGTTTTGAATTGTTTTGCTAATTACTGGCTAAACATTTTAGTAATGTCTAAGGACACTCACGTCATTTTCTTAAGGGGAGACTGAAACCTCAGTCTCACACCATTGTCTTTAATCTTGGCTGTGTTATCCAGTGAGGTGACGGGGTGCCGGACTGTACTGGGACAATGCAGAACTGTAAATGCTATATTGCATTGTCAGTTCTGTTGAAATGTAGAATCGTGACCCCACTTAAAATGCTTTTGTTTTACTTTGCAGGATGAAATCACAATAAAAAATGATTTAGACAGCTGGACCATAGCAACATTAGAGGTTGAATCAGTCATGAAAAAGAACTTGATTAATTCGGTGTGATGTTTGGCAAAGCAGCCTGGGTGCTCTGCCAGACTAAATAACCTCTTCCACTGTTGCCTTCAGCTAGGTTGAGGGTCTGCAAGTGGAGATCGCAGGACTGGCCAAGCGCCTGAGCTATGAAGTCTCCATACGGGCAAAGCAGCAGGGCTGGTCGGAGAAGACCTGTCGGTAAGGGCTGACTGCTGCTTCAGAAGGTGCTGAGTCTGGCTGATTTGCGGTAACCTTCTGAAGGCTTCAGCCATCTTTATATAGATTGATAGAACCCTTTGTCCAAGTATCTCCGTTCTACTCAAATTATGTCCCCTAGCTGACCTAATTGTGATACTTCCTGGATTGGAATGGCACCCAGAACCAGCCCAGTGCCACGGCTGCCCGTCCTTCCACCTCAGGCTTTTCAACCCTCATCCCTGAACCACCAGGTACCACTTCAAGAAGAACCTGCGGCGGATCGTGTCTGAGCTGTATGTGCGGGACAACTGCCACCCGTTCAAGGCCAGCCTGCTGGTGTGGGTGCAGCTGCCCATGTGGGTGAGCCTGTCGCTGGCCCTGAGAAACCTCAGCACAGGCCGGGCAGGTTCTCCGTCAGGTGAGCCTCCTCTCTGCAGCTTCCAGGTGTCTTCAGCAGGGCACAAGAACCTCCTTCCATACTCAGTAAGGATAACTCTCACCAGCAGCTGAAACAACAAAGATCATCTTGTTGTACTTATATGACACTGTCATACGCACATATCACATCTCCTGCCCTCCTGGTAAATATAGTAATTGAAACATAGTTGGACACTGACATTTCAAAGAATTGGACAGGGGACAGACCAGTTGTGGGTACCAATACTGATAAACCAAAAAAAAACCTCTCTTCCCTGCTTACTTGGATACAGTAATCTGTGTAACTGATAGGGAAAATGCTCTCTCAGCCATCCAGGAGGAGCTGGCAGCAGGGGGCGCTCTTTGGTTTCCAGATCTCACCCTCCCTGACTCTACCTGGGTGATGCCTGTGTCCCTGGGGCTCATCAACCTCCTCATTATAGAGGTGACGCCCCTGATTGGCCAGTACTCTTCTTGTTCTGGCTGATAGGCTGTTTATGTTTTTTCTAATATGAGTGAATATGTTAAGCATGTCCAGCTAACAGAAGTGTCACCATTTTACTGACTCTCTAAAAGAGGTTTTTAGTGTAGTCAAGCCAGAGGCTTTTTAAGATTTTTTAAATTTTTTTATTGGAATCTAATCTTAAGCATCTTAGATGGCTTTAACTATTTATAATGTATTAGTTATTTAATCTTTAATCTGTCTTATATTGAATATAACCCTAGCAGCTGGCATGGTGTTAAGTGTCAATATAACAACAGTGTCACTTTAATTTAACTGCTCAGTTAGTCTAACTAGTTTTTTTTTTTTTTTTTGTAATTTAAAGCTCACCTTATGTACATTCGGTTTTGTATTTGTGTGATCAGGCTTTTAGTTTTGTTTTTTTTCCCGCCCACCATCAGATGTTTGCTCTCAGGAGACCAGAAGTTTCTAAATTCCAGAAGTTTGTGACAAACTTTTTACGGGGGATCTCCGTGGCGATGATTCCCATCGCTGCCACTGTGCCCTCGGTAGGCCCCGCAGTCCCGTCGTGCACATCACCACACAGAGCTGCTCATCTATCGTACACATCACCACACAGGGCTGCTCATCTACCGTGCACATCACCACACAGGGCTGCTCATCTACCGTGCACATCACCACACAGGGCTGCTCATCTATCCTGCACATCACCACACAGGGCTGCTCATCTACCCTGCACATCACCACACAGGGCTGCTCATCTACCCTGCACATATCTACAAAACAGCGAGTGGCAGCGCTCGATCTCTGAGATGGCAGGAAAGAAGTTGGAGCACTGTAGAGCTTTTATTGGTTCTCAGCCTGTGCCTATGTGGTTCGATACTCCTTTCATTTGAACTAGACCATCACAACTACTGCTCCAGCTGCTCTGATGTTCTTACTAAAGAAAAAAATCAAGTCAACCAAGCAGGTAGAATTACCAGCTCTGACCCATTATTATAGTTTTGATTTATTAATTTGTGCATTTTAGTTTTTATTGGTTTTTCATTTTAAATAAACTGTAACAAAACATTCATAGTTTCCATGAATGTTCATAATTCCAGCTGCAACATGTTACTGTTTTCAATGAGTGCTTCCCAAGTAATGCCACCAACAGCTAAATAATTTTTTAAAAACTACCACCTGTCTACTAGTAATTCACAAAATGATGCTTCGTGAACCATTTTCTGTACTTTTTGCCCCCACTAGATGGTGGTCTCTGTCCAAAAAACGGCACGAAGCATACCCCAAAGCAAAACGAGCGGTTTAAATTTTTTTTCACAAAGCTGTATTTTGTCCATCACTGCTGTCTACCACTCTTTTATATAGGGCACTAAATTGTATAAATCTAATTAGCATAGAGTTGATTTACTGTTAATTTACTGTATCATTTATTATGCTGGTCTTACCTGTAGCAGACTGTCTTGTACATGTGTCCTGATTTCTGTGCTCTCCTCTTTCCCCACAGTCCATGACCGTGTACTGGCTAAGCTCCAGCTGCGTGGGACTGGTCCACAACCTGGTACTGCGCTCCCCACGGTTCCGCCAGCTCTGTCGGGTCCCAGCCACTCGCTCAGATTCAGACACACCATACAGGGACATGGCTGCTGCCTTTGTTGCAAAATACCTCAAGTAAAGCAGCCTCCCACCAGCAGGGGGCAGTGATGACCAGACCAAGAACTCAGGGGATGCCCTGCAAAAAGGACCTTCTTATGGGGTGCTCCTCTTAGTTTTAAACTTGATTGGGTTCTTTATAACTAAGGTGCTCAACAATTAATTCTGACCTGGGTTTGGTAACATGGCCAGTCAAGATTTATCAGTGGCTGATCACCACCCACAGTCCCATGTTAATGGCTAATTCAGTCCAGCCTGATGACCATTTGTGGTTGCCATTATCATCCCTGTTTGTGCACAGTAATAGGATCTATCACCTAAATGTTAGGCAGTGGACTCCAGGCTAAGGGCCTGAAATTGAATCTTTAAAAATATTACATTTGAAAAATAATTTAAATACCTTGTGAGGAATGTAATTACTAAGTGTTCATACTGGTACGTTGGTTGAATTTAGTGTGATTTATGAAAGTATATCTAATAAAATTACTTTTTTTTTCATGTGAATTGATTATTCCCTTTTTCACACAACCAATCATGAGATCGTTTTTTTGTTCACTAATTGAAATATAAAAGCATTTTTCATATGCAACTTAGTGATTAAATCAGATGTTTTGTGATTCTCTTTAGATGTACGGATTATAATTTGTGTAAAATTTTGCATGTCATATGTTGCAGAAACCTATTATGTATACTGCTGCAGTTTAAATATTAATGGCGTATTTCTAATGGTACAATTATATACTGTAAATACACGATAATAGCATGAATGCCGGTGTTATGACGAAAAAGGTATCCCTGCCGTAGAATGCATGCCTGTCTCTAAATGACCGATTGATCGCTGATCTGAAACGAGTTGAGCTACTTTGTCGAGTAAGGCTACCGTAGTGCTAATCAATAGCCCCC